TAGAGCAAATGTACTTCAATGATCCAGTATCTGGAATTGCCTTTTGTGTATTCAATTGGTACATTTGCGCCATCTCTTTGGTAATCCCTATACTTTTCCAAATTTTATTCTTTTAATAGTTGAACGAGTTCCAATGAGATGTCGCCACGTACTACATTACCTTCTCAAGAACATTTTAATTTATGCACTTAATAGCCACGTCCGACTCAATTTTCCTGAAAGGGCAGTTGAAAATGTGCAATTTCATGTAGGATTTGTAGAGCAAATGTACTTCAATGATCCAGTATCTGGAATTGCCTTTTGTGTATTCAATTGGTACATTTGCGCCATCTCTTTGGTAATCCCTATACTTTTCCAAACTAAATTCTTGTAACAGTTGAACCAGTTCCAATGAGATGTCGCCACGTACGACACTAACTTCACTAGAACATTTTAATTTATGCCCATCCGAGACAATTTCTTCTTCGAGCCTCAAAAAAAGGCAGTGTATTACCTTCCTTTTTTACCAAAAATCGACTGCACCAAAATTTCTCGGGAAAACACTTTTTCTTATTAATTTTGGTGCGTAGAATCCAAACCAATTCGTACTTTTTCGATCAGACTTCTCAATCAAAAGTTATAGACTAGAAACCAATTTCGAAAGAAAATTCAAAGGCCTGTAACTTTTGAACTAGTAGCCCAATCTTGGAACTGTTTGAAATTATGGATTCTACAGGCCACATTCTATAAGAAAAATTTTTTCCGGGTCGACCTGAGACAATTTTTTTTTCGAGCCTCAAAAAAAGGCAGTGTACAACCTTCCTTTTTTACCAAAAATCGACTACACCAAAATTTCTCGCGAAAACACTTTTTCTTATTAATTTTGGTGCGTAGAATCCAAAACAATTCGTACTTTTTCGATCCAGACTTCTCAATCAAAAGTTATAGACTAGAAACCATTTCGAAAGAAAATTCAAAGGGCTGTAACTTTTGATCCAGTAGCCCAATCTTGGAACTGTTTGAAATTATGGAATCTACAGGCCATTTCCGTAAAGGGCAGTTGATAATGTGCAATTTCATGTAGGATTTGTAGAGCAAATGTACTTCAATGATCCAGTATCTGGAATTGTCTTTTGTGTACGCAATTGGAACATTTGCGCCATCTCTTTGGTAATCCCTATACTTTTCCAAATTTAATTCTTGTAATAGTTGAACTAGTTCCAATGAGGTGTCGCAACGTACGACACTACCTTTACAAGAACATTTTAATTCGTCCGACTCAATTTTTCTTAAAGGGCAGTTGAAAATGTTCAATTTCATGTAGGATTTGTAGAGCAATTGTACTTCAATAATCGACTACACCAAAATTTCTCGGGAAAACACTTTTTCTTATTAATTTGGGTGCGTAGAATCCAAATCGAATCGTACTTTTTCGATTAGACTTTTCAATCAAAAGTTATGGACTAAACCAATTTCGAAAGAAAATTCAAAGGGCTGTAACTTTTGATCTAGTAGCCCAATCTTGGAACTGTTTGAAATTATGGAATCTACAGGCCATATTCTATAAGAAAATGTTTTTATCCGGTCGATCTGAGACAATTTTTTTTGGCCTCAAAAAAAGGCAGTGTATTACCTTCCTTTTTTTTACCAAAAATCGACTACACCACAATTTCTCGGGAAAACACTTTTTCTTATTAATTTTGGTGCGTAGAATCCAAATCGATTCCTTCTTTTTCAATTAGACTTCTCAATCACAAGTTATAGACCAATTTCGAAAGAAAATTCAAAGGGCTGTAACTTTTGATCTAGTAGCCCAATCTTGGAACTGTTTGATATTGTGGAATCTACAGGCCATTTCCTTAAAGGGCAGTTGATAATGTGCAATTTCATGTAGGATTTGTAGAGCAAATGTACTTCAATGATCTAGTATCTGGAATTGTCTTACAAATTCACAAGGCGTCGGGACCTCGGGGTTACAGACACTCCAGGACATGCAGTATTTGAGTGTAAGAGGTGGGAAAGGCATAGATGTCCCCTGAGAATGGAGTTGGCGGACGCACGCATCGTGCTCACGACGTAAACCCAGCTCTCACAATAGTGAAACCTTACTTCATCTTAAACTTTTACAAAACTTGTATCAGGAGAATATAGTGTTTGAGGAGGTGATTGAAATTGAGGTTAAAGTTTTAGTGAGGTTAGGTTAAAGTGGTAGTCAGGTTAGGTGAGAAATCTTGTATCAGGAGAATATAATGTGTGAGGAGATTGAAGGTTAGGATACAAGATTAGTGAGGTTAAGTTAGAGTGACAGTTAGGTTAGGTCAAAAATCTTGTATCAGGAGAATATAATGTGCGAGGAGATTGAAGGTTAGGATAAAGTATTAGTGAGGTTAGGTTAGAGTGATAGTTAGGTTAGGTGTAATTAGGCGTCTAAAATTTTGACAAATTAATTTGACCTAACCTAACTATCACTCTAACCTATTTATCAATCAGTGGCAAATATGGAATTATGTTCTGGGGCATGGAATATCATTTTGAGAACGTTTTAGTTGTTCAAAAAATGAGTATTGCATACCATTTACAAACAAGGTTTTAGAGAAAAAAATATTCTGACTACATACACAGCCTATGCTTATTATTAGTGTTTAACCTTTCAAGGAAAAACTCACAGAAAACAAGATCGCTTGGTATTAATCTCCCAATACATTGTTTAGTCCTTACGGAAAAAATCCCTCGTATATGTGTAGGTACACGAATTTTCAACTACCAAACGAAATTAAACATAAAATTCAGTAAGGTCTAATTACAGTACGGTATATAATCAGAAGGAGAGGCGGGGATTTCACAGAAAAAAATACAAGATCACATTAATAAAAAAACCGTTTAATGACGAAGGAAATTTTAAAGGAGTTTTAATAAATTATTTAAAAAATGACAACATAGTTTGAAACTAGAAAAATATTACAGGGAAAGTAAAAAATTAACAAAGAAAACATATACATATTATTTTAATATACAGAAAAATGAATTATTTTTCCATCAATGTAACATCGAGACTGGATGTTATAGCTATTTATATAGGGCTATTTATTATGTACACCATAGAGATCTTAAAAAGTGCTACATTTAGAGTTAGTGTTATTAGTGATCACAGAAAACTCTCTAACGAGCATACACTGCCAAACATTTTGGCAGACGCACGCCCATTATAAAACATGTACTGTGTACAGTTTTAAGTAAAATAAAATAATTAGTTGATAATATAAAATTATAGCTTAAGTACATTTAAAAAAGAGTAGAAGCACTTCATATTGCAGAATTGGTAACACAATCTTACATCTAAAATAAATATGTACTAATTACATCAATAAAAATTATTGCAAGTTCTAGAGTACAAAACTTTCTGAAACTATGATCCTAGACTCTTAACAGCTTTAAAATTTTTTTTCTCTCTGATGTGATCTTTGGTTTGTACAATGAGTGATGTTTGGCGAGTCCTAAATAAAATGAGCTGCCTATATTAAAATCACAAAATGTCAGTTCTTGTTAATGCTAAAAGCACCATGGCGTAATAAATTTTATATTAACAAGTGGAAAGATTAAAAACAAGAACTTTAATATTCAACCAAAAGTGACGAGGCACAATTCCAAATCTTCCTTTTATCTACAACGTTTATATGTAATATAAAATGCACAAGTACCGTTAACAACTAAATCACAATTTTGAAATAATGATCTACCACATAATCGCTAATGATTATAAAAACATTGTATTAATACTTCACAAAATATTTGAGGCGACTGTACCGTTTTCGTTCACTTATCTCAAACGTCACTGTCTGGATCGGTTTCACTACGAGGCTGTCCGAAATTTCTAGTTATGCTCTCGCTCATCGATCGAATATTCGCAAGGTGTACGTCGTTGGCAGGCACCGAAAAGTAGTTCAGTCTATCTAGGTCAGGTACGGCGTTTAAGTCGTCGTCTGTACGGTAACAGTTGTCGTATTCGGAATCGTAGAGGGCGCTCAGCGAGTCGAGCGACATCATCGCGTCCGAGTCGAATATTCGCGACGACGCGCGCGACGACATGCTGGTGTTGTCGTCCATGTCGCCGTCGTGATTGTTATCGTTGTACGCTGAATTTACATCACTCAATGCACCTAGAAATTAACGGGTCAAATCACAATTGTTGCAAAATCGCCATGTCGATACAATTAAACGAAATACAAAAGGTACTGACTAAGTGAGCATAAATTTTTCAATGATTTTTGAGACACTTTAATCTGTAGACTCCCAAAATGTGGTCGTAGAGGATGTGAAAGCAGAACTGTCTCCTAGCTAGAGAACATGAGAACATAGAACAAGAAAGGAAAAGCATAACGGTAATCCCTCCATATTGTCTTCTGTCGCCAAAGCATCAGATTTTGAAAGCTGAACTTGCCATATGGTTGTAGGACAATTCGCTTCCGGACAATTCGTGTCAGGAATATTTGCACTAGGACAATTCGCTTCCGGAAAACATGCAAGTTGAGATCAAATGGTTTATGAAATATTGATAAATACAATTTTCCACAATTAACATCGAAGAGAAGTCTCCAACTCCTATTTTATTTGGGAGTATTCCGTATTGAGGCTGATAGATCAGCATGCAGTCTTTGGGAAGTGAAATGTAATGAAATGAGTTTCATTGTACAGGGTGGCCAAATAAGAATGCGAGGTACTGTATCTGAGAATCTATTCATCGTAGAGGCTTGCGGTAAAAAAATTTATTACTAAAATGGCCACGAGCACAAACTGGAAAATATTTTTAAGTTTCTGAAATGACCGCTAGGGGGCGTAACTGCAATCTGGAATCTAAAGTCACTAGATATAGAAAGGACCGCAATCATCCGCCATTTTGGGGCATATTTGCTGCCAACTTAAAAAAATTGACAAATAAAATCTGAATAGCTGTAATTTTTTATAACCTAACTTCATAGTACTGTCATGTTTTATAAAAATATATTCAGATATCTCCAAACAGGTGGAACAATCCCTAACAACTTCCGCCATTTTTGGGCAAAAATCGTGCGTTCTCTCTCTAACACACGAGCCCAATGGCTTGCGGTACTTTCTATATTTAGTGACTACTGGAATCTAAAAAAGTGATGTTTCTGTGCTATACTAACATAACAAAAAAATGTCCGGTCTTTGAAGTCGACGATAATCTGAACAATTTTTGTTTGACAATTTTTCCTGTATCTCTAAAAATAAAGTGGTGGGGGGTATTCAAAAGTTTCCGTAAAAAACACCCTGTATCTTCGAAACCGCTGAGCCGATTTAAACAAACTAGAGTTAGTTCAAAAGAGCTATTCTACAGCTACAAATATTATACTATTTAAAGTTTTGTTAGTTTCACATATCACCGCTTGAGGGCTTTTCCCATTCCGACAGAACTGGTTAATTTTCTCAAAAAAATTAAACGCATTGGTTCGATTTTTTTTAATGAAAAAGTAGCTAAATGATGCCTAAAGAAGCTCACGAAAACAGCATCTCGATATCTTGAGATCTTTAGCTTAAAAAAATAAAACCAACGCATTTAATTTTTTTGAGAAAATTAAATTTCTGTCGGAATGTCGAAAAAAGCCCTCATGCGGTGATATGTGAAACTAACAAAACTTCAAATATAATATTTGTAGCCGAAGAACAATTCTTTTCAATTAACCCGAGAAACAGGGTGTTCTTTAGGGAAACCTTTGAATACCCACCACTTCATTTTTAGAGATACAGGAAAAATTGTCAAACAAAAAAAGGTTCAGATTATCGTCGTCTTCAAAGGCCGGACATTTTTTTGTTAGGTTAATATAGCGGAATTCACAGAAAAATCACTTTCTTAGATTCGTGTGGGGGTCTGCCGACGCCTGTTAGTTAGGCACCACACAGTGTTTACCCCCAACGAGAGGGTCACTGGTGAACATGTGAGTAGCGGTTTCCATCTACTGCTGTGAAAAAATTTGAAACCAGGTAACTTCGCTCGCTGAATCCGCCCTCATCGGATTTTTCGGTTACAAGGAAAATTGGGCTCCTCCAAAATATCCTAGTAGTGCAAGTTCAAAAGGATTAAACTTTGGTCCTTAAAATTAATGTACTCGAATCTAAAATTCAGTCTTATTTCTTTGAGCAGATTTTCCCCAGGTAGAACTCCCAAGGAAGATTCAAGAACAAAAAAAGCTACACATTCTCAGAATTGCCCTTTACTAATAATCTTTCAATCTTGGAATAATTGGCTAAATTCCATTAGTAGGTAGTTGACAGGGGGTTGATTTTCAAGTAGTTCCCTGAGAACCAAACCAAACCTGAATCTCAATAATTGATTGATTTAGAGTAGCTTGTTTTAGCTGGAACTATATTATTGTTTAAAGGGCACAATCTCTGAATTTCAATCCAAGACATAAACCAAGATCAAGGTACTACCTCGAATGATCACAGCTCAGAACCACTTTAGTTTAGACAAGAACACCGACCTTTTAGGGATTTTAGTATGATTTTGAATCGGCCACACACTACTGTGGCCTAAAAGGCCACGATCACAACTACTTTGGCCTATACAAGAATCCTGCTCGACCCTAGTTTAGAACCATTTGACCTTGACGTTAGCTCAGAACCACTTTAGTTCAGACAAGAACCCCCATACCACGTTTGACCAAATACCTTACTATATTAATACAGGAAACTGACATTGAAAACCGGTCGCAAAATACAGCACCAAGACGTTGCGGTAGGCACTTTATTGATGATTTTACATGCCTTGTGATAGTTATTGTTATGGATAAATTGATAATATTGAGGTATTCAGTAATATCACATAATAATATCTTAGATACCTTGCTTATTTAATTAATTTGCTCCTTAATTTTTCGTCATTCCACACCGGGCCGTGTAGATGGCGCTCTTTTCCGTGTCTCGCGTTACGCAAATGCAAATAGTGTTATTCAATGATACTATCGAGTTTCCTGTATTAACACATTAAGGTATTTGGTTTGACCTTTCAGTGACATTGCCTTTAGCAGAGTTTCAAACCCACATCTACATTTGACCTTTCAGTGATATTGATTTTGAACTCAAGACACAAAGCTCCTATGTACCTTGTTGCCAGACATCACAATACTGGTGTGAAATTACGATCTAAAACCACGGCATCTTAGACTAATGTTATACAGCGAAACAGTGACAACACTTCAGAAAGCTTGTGCGCCTCTACAAATTAGGTAACTGCAGTTAGTATACGCACTACGGCGGCGGGGTTATCGCATCATATAAAAACTGCACAGTAACCTACCCCAATTTGTTTGTTATTCTATTCGGTAGGCGAAGAATTCTGCGCTAATCCATCATTATCAAGATGCGCTAATATTACAAGAAATTAGTTGGAACTCGAGGGCAAGTGTGAAAAGTTGAAAAATATTGAACAGCCTGTATGTACGAAAGCGTGGAAGGATCGCATCCTTTTCGACTTCTACTCCAAAATTGAGGCTTCTATGCTCCCGTATTTACAAGGGACTCGAAAATCACACTCTTGCTGACTCAATATTTTTTAATACTAAACACAGAGTGCTGGCATTGAAAAAGGCCGCCACCCTGTATTCGCAAATACCTTCAGCATCCGTTAATCCCGTTTCGTGTATCATTGATATGTTTTCCAAGGCGGGATCGTCGGTAGTGTAACCTGTCGACTCCCTATCGTTAAGTAAAGGTTCCGAAGCGCCGCCTTCCTCGTCCTCGCTCCACTCCGACTGACTGCCTTCGTTCTGGCCCTGGCCCGCCACCCCGTTTTCTAAATTACGCAATTTCTCCTGCACCTTCTCCTCTAACAGTCTTTTCACTTCCTCCTCCTGCAAAATTTCGCCGGTTAGTACAGATTTAACGCTCGCCAATAGTGAGTTTACCAATTCTTTGTCCACAGACTGCATGCAAGTGAAAGAGAGAAGTTATTATTTAGACTCAAAAAGTTACCAAGCGACTCACCCTTGCCGCTTCTTCTTCCATACGCTTCTCGTCGCGCTCGAAGCTTTCTATGTCCGTGTCTTCGCACTCATGGATCTCGTCGGGCATATCACAGTCATTGTCCACGTCGCCGTCGAGCTTCGGAATTCTACAATTTAGACCATTACTACTTGTTACATATTCTATTCTATCCTAGAACTAAAGCAAAACTAGTGAGTTGTGCGGAATACACAAATGGCGCGATTTGTGTATCTTTGAATGAATGGAACGCTACTACGACAAACAAAGGAAACGTGTGAAATTCGGTACCTATGAAGACCCTCGGTGAAAATGATTAGTGCACAAAAAAGCGTGGGTGTGCCGAGCAATCAGCATGGAGTTAGTATAAGCAAATGTTAAGCACGATTAAGGTATTGTACCTGTCTAAAGGTGAAACCTTTTGTTGCTTATGGCACTCGGACGGACCAGGTGAAGGAGCACCTCTCTTCAACGATCCCTCCTTGCTGCTTGCTCGGGTCGGCGAAATACACTGCAGTGTGACAGTACCGGTTGGATTCAAACGTAAACCCAGAGCAAGAGCTTGAATGGCGGCTAGACCTACTTGATGCGTGTTATTATTAGGAGGGGCGTACCTCACAAGCGGTTCCAAGGCGAGATCTTTATTTTGAGGGGTCAGTTCGTATTTCGGAGGGATGTTTTGCAATAAGTTTTGCTCCTCGAGAAGCTTCTGTATTTCTCTCTCAAACGGACCCGCGATATTATCGTCGGTGTTATTCACCTTGGTATTCGGAGATGGAGTATCTCTAACTCCGGTCGGAGACGAGTGCATTCGCCGCATGTCTTTTTTGTCGGTTTGACTGCAACCGTCCTTTTTAATCTTCTCCGAGCTCGATTTGTTGTACAAATCCCCTTTGTCAATCAGTAAATCCTTGATGCCCTCGCCTTCTTTAAAGCTCGGCGATCGTTTGCAGTTGGCGTTGAATTTGTTGCATTCCAGCACCGAGTCGCTATCGTTCCGGGCCCGTTTTTCCATGCTGCGGTTTTGCTTCTGGACCTGCGCACGCGTCACCGCGCCATTGGAACTGTACGCCTTCATCAGGGGGATCGCTTTCTGTTTCGATCGTCCGATAAATTCGAAGCTGGCGCAGCTCTCGCCCTTGCCGCTTTCTTCGCCGTCCAAAACCGGCGGACTTGTAATTATCGACGAATCCAAGGTGTTCGCGTTACCCGCCAGAGCGATGAGAGCGTTCGGGGGCAGGTTGCTTCGTTTCGCCGATCGTTCGTTGGAATTGTTCCGCAGCGAACAGTTCGGCGGTATATAATCTAGGGAAGCACGGGGCGACACTTCGGGCGACGAACACGGGTTCACCTGGATGTCCGACGGAAACAGGAACTGTTGCGGTTCGGCCGGTAACGGTGGGGAGACGCACGGCGAGACATCCGCGTCGGTCGTGCGACTGTAGCTTTCATCCGAGCTGCTAATGCTCGGAGAGTGATTTAAGGAACTTATTTCGTCGGCGGATGAGTGTATTCTTTGAGGCGGCCCGGTGTTGTACAACCCTCCGATGCTTTCGTCCGAGTAGTGCCTCTGTAGAGGACTGTGGCGGTTGTGGTGGGGGCTGTTTCGGTTGTGCAAAGGGCTGCGGTTGTGGAGGGGACTGTGCCGGTTTTGTAGTTTACTTCGTAGAATTTCGGGTGTTCGCTCGGGCGTTCTTTGATGAGGGGGTTGCACTACGACATGGTAGGGAGGCGGGGGCGGTTCATTGATTTGTTTTCGATGATGTCGATTAGGTGATTCTTTCCCCGGCGGCTTCGGAAGGGGTTTCAAGTATGGCTTCACGTTATCAACACTACTCCTGCTTACTACCGAGTAAGGACTTTGCCCTTGTGGCCATGGCGGAATGTACTTCATGTTCATATCTTGTGGTTGCGAATACTGTCTCTGAATCTGCTGAAAATGGTTTTTGTGCGGCGGGAGTGGGGGGGTTGGTAAATTTTCATCTAGGGAGAACTTCTTTACATTTTTCACTAGTTTTGGAGCAGCCGGTGGAAGCAGTGGGTCAGCCTCGCAGCCGTTAACCAGTACTTCGCGTTCCTTGTGACTGCTCTCGCGCAAGGTGGGTAAACGGGGTGGATTTCTCGTACCAATAAAAGTATCTTCTCTACTATTGGTACGTTTTTGGAACGAATTATGCTGCTTCATTCGGCCATTTATTTCTCCGTGGTGGAGAAGGGCCAACGGTGTCGCTACACCCCCGTACATGTTGTTCAAAGCTGAAAATTAAGATTTTCATTTAAACACGATCTTATCGTATACGATCCCTCACAATTGGCTACGCAGATTGTGAGTGGTCATGGTCAAATTACCTACGGCTCCAGCTCGAAAACTAGGCAGCTCATCCACTCTAATTGTACCGGGTTGCTTGCGATCGGTAAGGAAATAAGTCGTCATATCACCTTTACCTTTCACCTTCACCTTTCCCCTACATTGAAATTCGTAGGGGTACCCTTTAAGTACTTGATATACCTCCTCAGTCACCTGGGTGTGATTGGGCAACCCCGTCGAATCCATTCGACTTGCCACATTAACCGTATTCCCCCAAATGTCGTACTGAGGTTTGCGCGCGCCAATAACGCCGGCGACCACGGGGCCAATATTTAAACCTAAAAATGGATCGGTCACTGGTGCTCCACTTCGGTCGGTAACATACCGACGCGCAGCATGAAATTGTTGTAGGAATTCTCGTTGATGTTCAAAAGTCGCTCTCGCATCGAAAATACGAACTCTACCAAAGTACTGAGCAACGTACCCGCAGATACTTCGTCGTCATCTAGGATGCGCAAATCTGGTATGAGCCCAATCGCCGCCATATACGTCGACCCGACCGTTTTAATCTTGTCGATCGCCTTAAATCGTTCGTCGCTCAACAGATCATCGAAATCCGCAATGATTTCATTGAGCAATCTTAAACATTCCACTCCTTGATTATTACCGTCGAGTTCCGTGTAGAATTCGTGATAATTTGTAATCGAGGCAAAGACAACACCTACTCGAGAGTAACTCTGATGGTAGAGTTCCTGTGATAGAGTATTCTGTAAGGAATTATTAGGTACGTCAGAAGGGATTCTACTAATATTAATTTTAACACCGAAACTACCTTTAAAACAAATACACAGTACATTTAACAGTGATTTAGAAACAAATACATGCTAGCGTGGGAAAAATTCCAAACCAAAAAATTTGTGTTGTCAAATAACTAGTAAGTGATTTTTAGGAGATGCCTGAGATAATCAGAAAAGTCACATGCTCGTACTGGAGAAGGATGGTTTTCGAACTCACTGTAAACCATCATTTCCGGTCATCTACATGCTTCTTTTAGGCCCTTTCTAGATCTGATCCATTTCAAACCAATTTAAAAGTTCCTAAGGACCTAAGGAGACGTTAAATAGCAAACACGGTCCATGGTTCCAGCGCTCTCTACCGTCTTTTGATCGTTTAGTCTCGTTTTAGAGCACCCAAAGCTCTCTGGGCCTGTTTCACAGTTTTGTAATGCCATATCGGAACTTTCCAAACCTCACAGGGGCACACTAATGCTCAGGAAATGCGTTAGAGAGCTCTAGAAAAGATTCTGAACAGGGGGCTTTATAAAACCTTCCTTATCAAAACTGTCCTAGAGCCTCATACATGCACGCAAGTGCTTTACATACTCTCCAGAGCATTTGGCACTAAACTTTAGCCAGGAAGTACCCAAGATCTTAAGTCGTGGTTACTCTAAGCGACGGCTTTGAGATAAAATTTAAAAAACCCGAAGTATACCAACCCTGCTGCATTGTCATGCCTTCGGGTACTAATAGCTTTGAATATAGACTACGGAAGAAGTACCGTTCATATCGACATTGTATTTATAAACGAGTGGATCACGATTGAAGTGTATCGTGTGTTGCCTACATACCATACACATTTTTACTTAAGTTTATGGTCTAAGATTCAAACCCATGGATCATTATTGAAAACTTTAACCATTGACAGTACCGCCACCTATGAACCAATAGATTTAGACTGTATGTGGGAATCTATTTTTCAAGGTATACTAAAAGTCGTGTAATAAAGCTGTCCCATAATACAATCCGCCTATTCCTTTCATGTTTGATACCTATATATTTTATTGAACTTGACTTGAGGACTACCTGTCACTTGGCGTGTTTAGGTTTAGACAGTACTTTTTTACCTTGATATCTTTGAATATAGATTAGAGTCCGAATAGACGCATCAAAGCTTTACGTTAGGTATTCTATTATTTAAAAACTTTTGATTATAAATAATTATAAAGTATTGCCATAAGAATAAAATTCTTTTCCTATACAGCGAGAACAGTTTGATTTTCATATGGGAAAACGGAAAATCCCATTAAAGGATAAGGTTAAATTCAGGCTTCCCAATCATACTCAGTACCACACAACATTTTTAAAAATAAGAACCTCTATAACAATAGCCAATAGGCAAAAATATTGAATCATAATTAATATTTGCCTGAATTGGATTGTTCGCTTTTGAAAACGGAAAACTTTGAATAGAAAGGTGCAATTGCAATGTGCTTTATAATCAAAGATTAGAAGCTTTAATTATGCATACAGCTGTAAACAGGTATGTAGATCCTTGTGTAGATCGATGTTCAAAGATCAAAAGCAAACACCTCCATCATATAGAGAGATTTGGTGCGAATATGAAATTTTGGGGAAAACAAAAGGAAAGTTTTGGGGATGAAGAAATTTCTCGGGAAATATAAAACATTTTTATGAAATTTATATTCGTGAAAATTCTTGCAAAACTGGAAGGAAATTAAAAAAAATTAAAATAGTTTTCCAGGAGATGGTGGTTTAGTATGAAAATGAGAAAATTTAATGTAAGGGGAAATTTGGAGAACAAAAAGACTCTCGAGGAAATTTGAACAAAACAGAATAATAACATTCTCAATAAATAAGAAAGGATCTTTGCGAGAGTAAAATGAAAATTTAAAAAATTATTGTTTCACTTTTGGCAAGCAAGATTTAAATGAATGAAAACGCCTTGAGAAAATTGCAAAACATTCTAGAGGATTATAAGGAGCTTTTGAAAACTCAATGGACATTTTTGAGAAAAAACAAAGGTATATTATTCTGAGAAAATGTAAAGAAAATTCTGGAAAACGGCCAAGGTTGATTTTTAAAGGTGTTGCTTATATGTGTAGTGAAGAAATTACGTAAATACCACCAGGTAACGCACGTAGTTCTGGCAAAATTAGAGGAAATTCTGAGCATTTATTTTGTATAAATTGCAGTTTGCTGGTGGCGGATTTACCAGCAGGCTGGGGCCTAGGGCGGTGGGTTTTAGGGGGCGGCAAATTTGGCCCCAAAATTTTTGTCTAACAGAATTGAAAAAAAAAACATTATTATATACAGGGTGAGGGTTTTTTCATTTTTACTATATCTCGTAAACCTATGGTCAAAGTTTTTCTCATCTTTCTAATGGAGCTAAAATAAAATTTGTATGACTTTTCAAGTAATTAATATCAATTTTCTGATATCTTATGGACGCTAAATTGGACTCAAGATTAATTTCCGAATGAAGGTATCGCCGATTGTTCACTTTTTTCTTTATCGAGTGACCTAAAAATTCAATATGGCGTCCATACGAAATAAGAATGTTGATGTGATTTACTCGAAACCCCAAAGTCATAAACATTGTGTTTCAGCACCATCAGAAAGCTAAGAAAAAATCACGAAGCGTTTGTTAAAATTATTTTTTGATTCTCAAAAATGGCCAAAACTGCGCTATTTTGTAGAGATACGAGAAACTTTTTTTTATTTTCTATTTATCTTTATTTTTTTATTAAATAACTTCATCTCTTCTTCATCTATAATTTATTATTGTCATTTACTGCAAATAGCAAGCCACTAATTCATATTAAATTAACTAATATAAATTCAATTTTGTACTCAGGACTTATTCTTTCTTTGATTAAAAATTATTGTTAAGTATTACGGTTAAGTGGAAGAGCAGAAGTTTCATAAATCTGAACTTCGCCCTATTGAAGGTGACTCTCACGTTAGTTTTTATTTTCTATTTAATAGTAATGAATTCTGTTTATTAGTATGTACATACATACAGTGTTATTCTTCAATATGACCATTATTATTATTATTACTTTGAAACGGAAAATTTTGCCCACTTAAACGTTGCCATTTGAAAAAAAAGTTCGATGCGGTTGTGGCGCTACAAAATGTTTGCTTAAAAGTTGGCCTGTTATTTTTGTTTCCGTGTGCCCACTGCCCAATATACATATTTAAAATTTTAACAAAATTCGTCGAGTCGCTATCTCAAAAAATTGCCAACGTACTAAGTACATACATAAAGACTCAAAAACATTTCATTTTTGCTTAAAATGATGTCGACATTTGATGCAGTTTTGACATGTCCAAAAACGTCATCACTGACAGATTGATAGTATTCAAGTTCTATATAAAAATTGAAATTTTATATTAAAATACGATTTCGGGTAAAATTTAATACAAAACTCGTCACTAAATTGACAACACTTGAATCGGAAATTAAAGTACTCGGCCTCGACGGGCCTCGTCCTTTCAATATTTCCTCGCCATTAATGTATCATTTTCCCGACTTTTCTGTAAATAACTATTGTGATTTGTGATAATGAATTTTTAAAATATTCAAATAGCGTTCCAATATTACAATTTAAATTTAGTATTTTGTTTATAAAGTTTTCCATATTTTGAATTTTCTTATTATAGCTGTGTACGTTCATGCTAAATTGTATTTCTCACTTTACTTACACACCTTTAAATTTAGTAATTTTGTGTAAGCTGCGTTCATATTGTTGGTGTAAGAATTTTTCAGGCATATCTCATCTTAAAATTAGTATACGAATGAGCTTGTTCAGCTCATAATTTACCCAAAAACTATTTATCCATTTTAAAAATGTTTCATTTTAACTACCGAAAATTGATTTATAACGGTCGCAAATACGAACATATTACAAGAGACCACATAGTTTCCAAACAATATTTTACAATCTACCAGTGGTTCACCGAAAAAAAGTTCTGGGGTAGAAAATCGAACATGATCCCTGAAAAAACAAAACCCTGCAGATTCTCACTACCATTTGCTTTGCTTATAAGTTATAACGATCTTCTCTTCCGTCTGTTCTAAAATGTAGCACACATTCAATAAGACTTCTATTCAGACATTTGGTACGATAGTTGGGTTTAGTAGTAAGTCAGACAAATGCAAATTAACGAGATCATTCATCATTGTTGTATTTCGGGAAATAAAAGGTTAAGTGGAAGAGCAGGTGGCGGTTACTTGTAACCAACCTGAACTTCGCCTTGGGGTTCAACAATAATATGAGCTTTTATAGTTTATTTATTAATTATTATTTATTATCCCTTTCTTGTTCTGGGCCCTCAACAGGCTTGGTCCAATTACAGAGTGACCCGCATAATGCTTTTTTCAGAGGTGCCTCTGCAGAAGGTCTCCCTAGATTCTAGGGAGTAGATTTCTATACGCACTGGATCGGATATACGAGTTAATGGTTATGGCCGCCTAGTGTCCATGTCCACGAACTAAAATATACTGTTCTCATAATATGTCTATAAGAACCGTAAATCTATGTATTATATAATCAAAGCTAATAGCATTTTTCAAGGAAAAACGCGGAGGATAGGTTTTATCGCACCCTTAAAAATCGCCATTCGTCATTCTAGAAAATATGTGGCGCTGACAAAAAAAAGCAACAATAAACATAAATAATTGTGTTTGAACCTTCCCCACACAGACATTTCAATTTGAAGTCGATACATTTTTACATAGACAGGAGGCAAGTTCATCACAATTAATGGCAATAGTGCCATGCCTCTCACGTACACGTTTAAAACTTAAACAGTGTGCAGAAGTGCAACAATAAACAAAAGTATGCAATACGTACCATGTTGTTTCTAAATTGATTATCGAGGAAGTGCGTCGCGACGTGTGAAGGCAACAAGTTAAACAATATTCTTTTATTAGAATGTTGCAAAGCGTCCATTTCCCTTTTTTCCTCGTTCGCCTGTACTTGCCAGAGAAAGTCGAGACGAACAGTCCATTCCACTTGACGGCCGTGCAATAACACCGCTATTACGAAGATTAGAACTTCAACGACGCTTACGACGTGGGCGGGTATGCCAGGAATTCCTGAGCTTTAAAAGGGGAAAGGGCGAATTACTTCCGACACCTTCAAACTCACAATCTACTTACTTAACAACTTCGTCGTAAGTCAAAAATAGCTTAATATGCGACAACTCTATTAACAAAACGTATACCGTCGACATAATTATTAGTAAGGCAATCTTCAACAAGATGGGGAGTCGCAGGAATAGAGCGACCGCTAAATATCCAAGAGCGCAGGATAGCACGATGTACTGAGGCAGGGGGCAGGCCCTGTGATCCCTTTCGAAAATGTTTCCATTTACAGTCCCGTTCTCGGACGAGTAGATGGAGCATGTAAACTATTCAGGACTCATTATCCTTCGGTCCACGTCAGGGACGATACTCACCACATTGACTTGCGCAACTGTATAAACCAGCACAATCGTAAACACAGTGATGGCGAGACGCAGCGCAAAACTATGCGAAATGTCCCATAAAATCCACCTCAGTCGAACGGCCAACAGCAGCATAAGCACCACGGATATCCACACGAAAGCAGTTAGAAAAAGTAATAGCAAAATAATAGTCCTCGGAAGGATTACGGCCTGGAGACCTCCCAGTAGCACCAACAGAACTAAAGCGCACACAAGAGATGAGCCGAATCCGACATCCAATTCGCCGTGATACTGAAATAATGGCGCATTAATCTCCCTCGGATATTCCGTTCAACTTACGTGATGCTCCTTCTGTCTGTCCTTAAAGCACAGCGAAATTAAATTAACGTGCGTGGATTTCTCACGGTCCACACTTCGCGCCTCGATCGCCTGCGCCAGATATTTATTGACTCTGTTCGAGGGCTGGTGATAAACGCTCGAATGTCGCTTTTTAAACGGCCGCTTAAATTTCTCTGTAACTTTATTCTAAAAGAAAAAGTAAATGTTAGGGGCGGGTTTTGGCTGGTGCCCGATTACAAAAAGCGTAAGAGAAGCACAGCTAGTTTTCCGACAATGTGTGTTTATGGAGGCGTTATGATTGAACGTTAAGCACTCGACGAGGGTTCTACAGCCAAAGTAAGCATCGCAAGGGGTAGTGGTGCAAGTTAGAATCCGCACAATGTCAAATTGAAATAAAATAACGTATTGTCTATGATACGGGATGCCAAAAAATTCTTTTAAAAATTTCGTTTTACTTTAAGCTTTCACTTTTTCATTGGTGAAATGCATTTAATTTTGAATGTTTGCCAAACCCTTTCTTTTCTTTTTGGTCTTTGATATCATTTTCTTTGGCCGAATAATGTCTTTGTAAAATCGTTATATTGTCATTCCCTCGCCTCTTCTCCCTACGTTTTATAGATTAAACTTCTGTGCTACCGCTTACATTCAGCTCTCGTTTTCATTTTCACACACGTTTACTTTCTTTTATTTTTGTCCCTGTAGGTATAGATGACGATATTGGCATAAGACAGGTTAGGGGCAGTTATTCTTGGTTGATACAATGTTTCGTGACATGATACGGAGTGTAAAATGGATCTTCCGTCGGATACCTTTTCTTCTATGAATTTGTCATGGAGTCGTTGCCCTCTGGATCCATTTTTTTTTCTGACGGTAACTTCCAATGTTTAAAGTTTGCAAGCAAGCAACCTTCTGAAGTACCACCTGAGTGTAATTGTAACTGTTTAAAACGTCTTTTGTATTACCCGTCCCGCAAAATCGTACACTTTACTTTCATGACAGTTTTTTTTCGAATACGTATGTTTAAAATCAGTTTATTTTTGTTACCAATTTTAACAGGAAATTCAAACCTCCCTTTTTGTAACAATCGCCCCTGGTTGATTGAGCACTGGTCGTAAACAATATTGCTTTGAATTATAAGATTTTTGGAAAACTTGCGAGAAATGAAGGTTTCAAATCAATGCCCGAAAAAACCACCACATGCCCAAATTAAAACTGACTGACTAGGCCGAGGGCTATATGGCCAAGGAAAAGATTGGTCGCTAGCCGGCGAACCGTGAGTACCAAGCCCCCCCCCCCCCAATTTTAAGCAGCCTTCTGATAGTAGGGGCAAGCTGCCAGTGACCGTTTAAAAGCCAACTACTCGTAGGACCTTCATGTCCGACTTACAAAAACTACTCAAGCTGTAACGGAGTAGTCGCTGCCTCCAGCCACCGCTGATCAAGGCTTGTCCGACATCGAGAGGACCTTATTGGCCTCTGAGGAAGACACTACCATAGGCAGTGTTACCATTCCTCTCTCCGAAGGAACACCTGAGCACTTGGATAACAAAACCTCAGCAGTCTCAGGAAGGACAAGTGAACTAAACAAAGCTGTGGAGGGTATGTCCACCCCACAAGTAAAGCTTTGTGGTGCCGCTCGCAAGCGGTTCAAAAAACTAATAGCTACCCAAACGAGACTAGGGTAATGGCTGTAAATCTCCTCAACTTCTCAACTTCTTCCGCACCTCCAAAGAAAACCTTCCGGGGCGCCCTGCCAGGATCAAAGTAGAGATCTTCTCGACAGACCCTAAATTGGATACCATCTCCGATGACAAGTTGGAATTATTGAAAGTCAACATAATCGAAGCGATATTCGATGGCGAAGGGGAGACAAAGCTCCGTTTTTACGATTCGGTTGCCATGCAAGGCTGGCTGTATGGACGTGGAGACGGTCCAGTTGTTGAAAAACCACGTCGCAACCGCCAAAACGTCGGAAGGAACCTCGAGAGGAAAAGGATCTCCCAAAGCATAACGTGTTCACTTGCACAGAGAGGAGGAAGAGTCGACCAACCACATTTTAAAATGGTTACACAACCAAAATGCAGGCATTAACGTGAAAATCCACCGCAACGTGACTGACACCACCGCAGTAATAGTCTTCACGGTTGACCGTCATAGGAACCAGAAATACTCAATCAAGGCAATGAACCAACATTTTCAACCAGCCACCTCCTTTCTAGCAAGCAGAGTAGTGAGATGGAGGATCTCCGACGAGCCCTCCCTATCAGACCACAGACAAATCTGATATAGGATAACGAGAGAAACAACCCGAAAATTCAGAGATTGGACACTGTACGAGGAGTTACTGAAAAGCAACACCGCAGGACTCTGCAGAAGGGCGAAGAGTTGACTTCACGACTTGCCAAACTGTTCACTGATGCCATTCTCTCCTCTTTTGAGGAGAGCTGTCCGCTGAAGCGAGTTAAAACAAATAGCCGCACACCCTGGTGGAATAATTCGCTTGGAAAGCTCTGGAAAGCCACCAAAAGAGTCTTTAACAAAGCAAAGTGCACTGGGTGCTGGGATGAATACACCGTCCCTCACTGAGTATAGTACGAGCAACCACCCCAAAAGCTAGCGACCTATCGGTCTATCGTCCTTCGTCCTTAAAACGATAGAGGGAGTAGTAGAGCAATACATAAGGGAAAGGTTCATAAGAAAAAAAACCTTCACACCAACCAACATGCAGACCAAAAGGGACGCTCGACGGAGACCACCCTATAACATCATCTCTAAGATTGACCAAAGCATGAGAATGAGAATCTTCCAGAAATTACGCTATTCTTCTAAAACCCAAACACAGGAACTCTGCTGAATTGTATTTTTATAATGCGGACTGGTGATCTCAGAGTTACATCATTTTTAGGTCAGCCTCCTAAGATAAGATTACCTCCTATATCTCCGACTCACTGAAGACCTCCGGAAACCATTATGAGAACAATACTTCATAGAATTTAAATACGCAGAAAAAAATATCATTCATTCCACCACTTACTTTCGGATCTTTACAATTGCACCAGTCGTACAATTTATTGGAAAATTTGAGCTTCTAATTTAGACACCTTGTATACTTTCTATTTAAATATTAGATTAGAAATTCTATAAATTCGTCAATATTGTTACAAAAAATCTGGAAAAAGCGCACAAAATAGTAGGATGCGATCAAAAATTAAGAAAAGTTCTACACCCTTTAGTCGGTGATTGTTCAATTTACGAATAATTTCACTGATCCGTTTTCGCATTTCGCGTTTAAATATAAAGGAACGTGCACAATTTCGTTTTGATAAAAAATATTTTTACTATTCGATTGATGTAAGGATCGCTTTTTTAAAAAGAAACACACACCAAATAAAAAATAAAGCAGTGTCCGATATCCCAAAGAGGAGCGTTACACACAAAAAGATAAAACCATGCAAACATATTTCGGATGGATTCGGCGACTTACATCAAGCGAAAACGCACGAAATATTTAAGAATCAATACCGCATTAATAATTAAAATAATTATTCAAAAAATCACTTCATCCTCAATATCGACTTCTGTAGTCTGTGCTGAGTACGGTTGGGAGTACCGCATCTTCACTAAGACCTTCTCATGGCTTCTACTTGCTAATAGAGCACAAAATGAGTTTACACGTTATTTCACTTCTATTGAGTCATTGTGCGAATGTAAGAGGTCGAATCAACTTGATTGAGGCGACTTTAGCTTCCCTTCACATTTGATTTATGGCAGATCTGGGCTCACCTACAAACGAGTTAGTAGGAAGGGAGACGGTGGCTAGCGCGAAATCAACATCTGATTTGGTACCGGTACAAGCGTGACGTTTCGCGTGGATCTGATCACAAAATCATTTGTGTTCAGAAGAACGCAAACGAAGAACTAGTGATCGGGCCAGCTTGCCAACTGGATTTTTAGCGTTGTATCAAAATTTTGTAATTAGTTTCAGAAAAAAAAAACATAACATATTATCAAAAGCGGTGAGAAATAAGATAAAAATCAAAATTATTCAGATGGCAAAGAAAAGACTTGGATTTAAATTAGGTGAGGCAAGCAGTGACTCACTTCGCTGCCAGTGTTGTCTGAAAGGTCCTCAGATGGACCAGAGGAGGTGGGCTCCGCATGAAGTATCCTCTGAAGGTCTAGCACCTACAAGCGACATTAACATCGACTGTTCACACCGCTACTATTAGACACAACAATTATACAAATAACATGCTGACATATTTCTTCATCATCTTTAGACTCGAGACGGGTCTACACCGTGCCCTCTGGCATCGTGTACACATCGCTCAAGTCACTACACACTTTAGTTTCATAAAAATCTTCACCCAGAAAAGGGAGCTCAAAAAACTGAAGCCTCTAAGTGCGATGTTACACTAACTGTGCAAACACATTTTCCGTTACCACAAAACATCGTGTAAAATCGTAACAAATAGGAAAAGCGAATTCAACGTGGTAAAGGGCACTTACCAAAGTGCGGTCTTGATTACTTACAATACAAAGAAAGTCTGTCAACCGTTTTTTTGAGTAGTAGTAGTCTATGCACACTTACCGCGTCCTAAAATGCAAAAGTCATGCAAACCACAACATCCAAGTGCAAGGAAATTAGAAAAGTTTAATTATTATTTACATAAAAAAGCTTTTAATTATCATACAGGGTGCTTCCATCGGATTTGGAAGCATCCTGTATGGAAAAAGAGGTTAAGCTATGCAAAACTGCCTGTTTTCTCGAAATTGAAACTAAATTTAAGACCCTCCCAAGGAGGGCATTTGTACAAATGTCTTTTTGATCCTGGTTTTTAATTACAGTCGCTTTTAAAAGGATGCGAATCCGACGCTTACTATCCGTGCCTAATTCATTTCATGCACAAGCTGCAAGGACACGAAGATTTATGCGTTAAACTCAAAATAGCGTAACGCCCCCCAAAACAAATTTTGAGGAGCGTTTAAATTTACGATCTAATTTTCTCGACTTCCAACGCGTTCTTGCTAAAATACCAAAAAAAGGGTTCATCGGAAATGATGAAGGATATTACTGAGTAACTGCACCTCACGCGAAATGCACATAAAATCATTCAGTTTTACAACGTCTGGAACTGGCATAAATTCGATAGTAAAATATTATTTTTTAACGGTGTGGCTTTAAAGGGGAGATTAACGAGCGAGCGGTCGGTAGCTTTGCATCAAATATTCTTTGTGACTGGAACAATTGCGTACAATCATCCCCTTTTTGACGTTCCATGTAGAGTACGTTATTATTAAAAATAAAAGGAACATGCTTCAAGTATTAGAAATCTGAAAGTCTAAAGGGTTGGATTAAAACTAAAAGCATACAGCTATTTGGGGATGTATAGCGACTGGTGTGAAGCTAGCAACAGCACGTGATTTATGTAGGCCGCCTAGGAAGTGTTGAAATAATCTATTCGATTAACGGAAAGCTGAAGCAATTAGCAATAAATTTGTACATTCTATGTGAAGTTAGCAATTATGCTATTCAATAATATACACATTATAGCAACATTTTACATTTCGTCTAGATACGTAAATACGTAATCGGAAAATATTTCATCGATAATCATGTCTATCAATCGTTGCATGATAGCAGGAGCATTAGTGAGCCCAAAGGGCATGCTAACAAACTCGAATAAACATTTGCCAGGGACGACAAATGCAGTTTTAGCACTTTAAATCGATAGTAGAAAGGAACTTAGCATCACGAAGTTTACTTATTAAAGTGAACGGATAAGAATCGCGAACAGTGAGTGCATTCAGAAGAGCTATAGACAGTCTGGGGTTTACTTTAATGCTGTCGACCGGACCTAGACTGATTGTCGGCCTTTATTCGTTTTTTTTACAAGAACTACACTTCATTTTGGTAATATCCAGGTTGACCACAAAAGATTTTTCGAGGGCTCACACAATTAGAATAGGCCTGACCTAAGTAAGTAAGGAAGATTCAACCTTCACAGGTTTAGAAACGGCAGGCAATGAAATTGGTTTAAATACGAGATGTTACGAGATACTAGAGGTACTTTGTTCGATACGTGATTGGAATTCTTCTGCACCAGATACTTAAGTGTTCAATATGTCCAGAATAGGCAAACGTTAATCAAAATAAGGTTGCAAATTAAAAGGTATATTCTCTCAGTTGGTGAATAATAATTGCTGATTTCATATCGCATGAAAATCAATTGGGGGAATGCTATTGCTAATTTTCCGCGCATGGTGCCTAATAGATATCTGTTTTCCTACACTAGTTCTCTACTAATGCAAAAAGCGCATCATGCGAAAGTAAGCAATAAGTGCAAACCATTCCAATTTGGACGAAATCGGCTTTTTGCAACATGGAGTAAGTACAAATTAAAAGCTTTAAATTAATAACCCTTCTCTTCCTTGCCATTGTGTAAAATTTAAAAGTCAAAAATACGATAAATTTGGACTCACCTTCCTGGTGTTGCTGTTCTTCGCGTCCGACGACTGAATGGTCATGTTGGAGAACGGAACCTCCATCGAGTATTTGATCGAGTGAAGCAGTTGGACGACGACGTTCGAGACGTTCTTGAAGCTCAGCTTTCTTCTCTGCGCGGCACCAAGAGCGGACCGGACCTGCAGCGTGTTGAACAAGAGTGGCTGGAAGAGATCCGCCAGGGGTGCCAGGGCGGGCAGGTTAGTCACAGGGTTAGCTTGTGGAAAGTAAAGGAAAGGTTCTACAAAGACGTCTAAGTTTCGCAAACTGACGACCGTCTTAGACGCCTTAAGAAAATGTTTAAGGGTATTATTAACAATGTTAATTAAAAATAAAACTGGATTAAGACGAAATGAAACTGCTATAATACATAAAAGCAAAACAGTGCACAGGTGTAGATAGAAGTGATAGAACAAAATCAAAGGAAAAGGCGAGAGAGGAAGGCGCATTCATAAGCTGAGACATGCTATCCACCAAAAGCACAAAAATGCACGGCAAACCAAAAACGTGTTTGGTAAACGGTGCATAATACTGTACAAAATAAACTCTCTGAAAATCATAAAGTGATCTAACTCGTCATACCTTGAGCAGAGCTAAAAAAAACTAATATACACAACCTAAAGACTTTGAATTTGATATTTTCTCTCAAAAACTGATTAATTGCGTGTTAAAAAACGTTTTAAAGCATCGAGCTATGTATACCTTTCTTCTTCTCGCCGGTGGCACTATGAAGTAAGTGGTGATACTGTTATCTCGCAGGTACTGGTTTCGAGTACCGCCCATTCCCGCTTCTACCTCATACTCTCCACCAAGGTAGTCAAGAGTTGCCTGAGTGATGTGTACCCTCCTAGAACACAAATATCATTAGTGTCATAGGGCAACCATACAAGTTCGTAGCATCAAAATATCAAGCAGGTGATTTTTCAAAATGATGTTTTAGACACATTTTTCGCCGCAAAGTGCAAGTGCCAACCTCATTCAATATACGGTTCAATAACGGGATGAGAGCCTACAAACTGCGTTATCGGCAGGATATTTCCATTAACATTTCGATTTGGTTCGGATGTTTTTTCGTCGGCATTTTCGTCATAATCTTTCATTCTGAGCGGTTTTACCCAACCCTTCGTCCGTAGTCAATCTTGAACGAACGATCTCTCATCTGTATTGGCAACGTGAGCGGAGCACGTGTCGACGCGACATTTCCATTTAATCAAATCTTACAAAAAGACGCAAATACATATGGGAGCGATCGTTACCGATCCCCCCATGTTCGTTTATAATTACGCCGGAAAGAAAAAGGCGAGGGTGAAAGTGCAAACAGTAATGAAAAAGACATAAAACAAAGAAGTAAAAACGCATAGGATCGATACGGAGCAGAGAAATGGGCGCGCTGATTTTTTTTCCCCTTCGTCTAAACAGCGTATAAGTGGCACCTGTTGTCTCGTGATATATTTTTCCGCTCCGAAGTTCCGTCTTTCTAATATTGATTTAGTTCATTTGTTTCAATATTGGCAATGCTTGCTTTTCAAAATGAAAATGCAACTGGAAAGCGGATAAAAATAGAGAAAAATATAAAAGATCAGTGGGTAGTATTAATAGCAAACCAATCAATTTAGATATAACGCAATCGCGTTGAGATCGGCGATGTGGGGTCGAGGGGTTGCAGACTAATTCTCGGTGGCGAATTTTTATCAGAGATTGACGTAGTCTGAAGGCGAGGAAGTGTCATTCCAAGTTCAAGTAAATACCAGACGGAGGGAAATTCCCACACCACTACATGTGAAAATCAAAGCAGCACACTTGCAATAATTAAAATACTATTCTCTTTCCTTTTCACTGTACCCAATCTCATTAACAGAATCTTTCTCATTACCTTGTGACATAAATCGGAATTATGAGGGAAAATTGTGACTTGAGCCGTTGATTTATTACGCCACCTTCTATGTGTCATATAAAATTAATTTTTAAGGTTTTACTCATTTGGTTCCTAAACCTATACGAGACTTACCCAGGTTCTCCACCGGCCTCCATGTTGTTTGCGAGAGTGACATCGTTCGACCAAACGTCGTACTGCCATTTTCGTAGCCCCAAAACGCCGCACAATACCCTACCCGAATGTATACCCACCCTCATGTTCAACTGTACGTCGGTCGCTTCGACGACGCTCGCAATTGCGTCGATCATGTCCAAACCCATCTCCACAGTGCAATGTGCATGATCCGATCGGGGTTCGGGCAGTCCCGAAACGCAGTAGTAGCAATCGCCCAGAATTTTTATTCGCAGGCAATGATTATCCTGAAATTAAAAAAATCCTGAGAGACATTTTATTCCCTAGCATAAAATGTTGTAGTCCTTAAGGCGAATAGCAACTCCCCAAACAGAAGATGAAGAAACAATAAACATCATTAAAAGATCGCATCAGAAGCCTAATCAGAAAAATGACACAACACCGTTTTCAGTACATTTTCCGGCAAAGTCAACGTAATGGGACGTTTAATTATAAAGTGTAATTAATTTCGTAATCTAATCTATAGTCGGGGCTGTAGAATGAATGGAATTGTACCGGTGAAAAGATGTCAAACTTTGAATAATAAAGATTAATTATTTTAATTAAGATCTTAACTTTGTCTGCTAGAGGTTGTAAATACCGCGACAGAAAATTCCGACGGTGGTTTTCCCTTAAACCAACATTAATTAATTTTCCGCAGACGGAAAAGTGTAGGTACAACTTTTTACGCGGTGAATGTTTTCGTGTTTTATAAATTAGGTAATTGGGTAAAGGGTAAATTAAACCTAGCCAATGAGCTGAAAACACGAAAAATGATTGTAGGGACTTTTCTCGTAATACTTAAATTTTCGAACCTGTTCCCCTTTCCTAGAGAGCATAATGGAGAGAATCGAAACGATTTTAGGGATGCTTAGGTTGCAGCTGTTCTAAATATTCAGATTGATAATAATAAATCCACATCCCTTAAAAAACGCTAATAAGGTTCTTTGATTTATGATTTTAGGGGCGCTTAGATTGGAATTGTAATGCATCATTCTGTAACGGGAGCCCGCTAGACCGTTTTTTTTCGAATTTTAGATATGCGTAAAAATTGCATATGTACCGCTTTATACGAATAGTAGGAGTGAGTAGCTTTAAAAGCCACCCCCGACGCGTTTGGAGATTCCATCTTATCTCTTCAACTGGTCCTTCTATAAGTATTTCCTCTTTGTTGAAATTATTTCAAATTTTGATCACTTCATAATTAATTTTCATTCTTACCGTAATCATTGGATCATCTTCTAGTTTAAAAATCCTGTAATACCATTCTTCACTTTTGCAGTGCTCAGTTCTTCTACTTCTTCAACTTCTTCTTCGTTATCTTCATCAAATTCATCTTCACTTAATAACTCGGAATATTGCGCTATGTAACTTCTTCTCGAATGTCTTCTTTTCTTCTTTAAACTTCAATTTCTTGTCCTAAATTCTTGTTCATATCTTGTAGTACCATGCTTCCTCTTCTATCTTCGCATACTCTTGCTCTGAAATGGCTATTCTCTCTTTTTGTTTTTTCTCAAGTTTCCAATTTAATTCTTGTGCTTTCAAAAGATCTTCTTGATTAGCTTTTCTACTTACAACTACTAGCTTCAGCTTGCTCTCCTACCCTCTCCAACTTCTCTAAAATGATTGGTTGACTCTTCATGGTCTCCTTTTCTTGATTTTCTTTTATTTTTCCTTAAGTTTCCTCCAAATACTTTTGTTTCTGATTTTCTTCTTCTTCGCTGAATGGATTGTCTGAATATTTCCGTCGAATTTTCTTACTTTTTGATGATGCATGATGGGGAGTTGGTGATGGTTGGTTTTTCTGTACTCTTCCCAATTGTTTCTTAATTTCCCAATATCTGAATCGTACTGGCCAAATCTCTCTTCATTTTTCTTCACCCCTTCCTCTCTTTCTTCAACTGCTGCACTGCTTCTCTTTAATTTTACTTCCAGAATTCTAGTTTCTTCATTTTTTGCCGACTTTCGCGATTTGTATTTGTAAACCTCGGGTTTCCTTCTGAGTTTCTTCAATTTTTTTTCCATTTTGTCTTGGCCTTCTTCGAATTTTTTCTCCACTTAATCGTGAAGAACCAGACGATGGGGTACTAAACCTCAGAGCAGTAATTATCTTCTTCAATCTGCTAATACTACTCTAACACGAGTTAGGACAGCAGAAAAATCCAGATGATTAGGTGCTTAGAGGTTACACTACCTTACCCTCACAGACACACAATACTCAATACTATATATGATAACTGAATATGATCCAAATCCTCGACATCGAGTCTCCAGAAATGCGAAATCCATTAATAAAACAATGCTCTACAGAAATTAAACAACGCAGAAAAGACGACCGTCATTACCACCACGGTTTAACAATACAATTCCACCAATCAAACCATTCACTTCCTAAACTGCTCTATTCTTAGAAATCTCGAAAAAAATAAACGCAAATTTAGAGCTACCGTTACACTTGTCACTAAATCCACTAAAACTACTTTACGAAAATAGTCGCCTTTCTCGGGGAATGTAATTGGAACGATAGAGACGATTTTAGGGATGATTAGGTTGGAATTGTTTAAATATTCGGATTAATAATGAATCTACACACATATCATCCCTTATAAAAATCGCTAATAAGGCATTAATGCTTAGTTTCACTACATAATTGCGCCCTTCTCAAGGAACGTTAATTCCATACGTAATAAACCTCTTTGATCTACCGGCTATTATTATTTAATTGCGCATATTCCCTCTTGTCTGTAATCGTTTCGGCTAATTCTGGGGTCTGGAAGCTTAATTTTGTTGTACTAAAGACGTCTTGTTCCCTACACAGAACATCCTTTAGAGAACAATCGCGTCGTTTAATTTGTGCGATTATACAATAAAATTGAAGCAGTTCACCTGGTGTTCCGCAATCGAAATGCGAATGTAATAAAGACGCTAGGGGAAGAAGATGAAAAATTGGTAACGTCGAATTGAGTTTTATTAATGAATTCTGAAAGGTTTCGTTAATCTTTCGAATCCATTCAATAAACTTCTTTTAGTTTATCGTTTTGACGTGGAAATATTTCAACTTTAAAGTTCAACGTTGGGGTTTGAGGCGCGCCAGACGCGTTATTTAAAAACAAAACCAAAAACCTTTAGTGAAAAGGTTTTTTTTTGTTCCCAGGTTGTATACCTACCGCAAAAATGCCATCGGGTTTACCAAGAAAAAGTAAGCAATTTATTTCTAATCTTATTCGTTATTTTGAACGTTTTCGGGTTTATTCAGATATCAACCTCAGGATTTGAAGTCCACAAAATGATGGCCGGTGAACGGTGTTTTAAATGTCATGGTGAGATCCGAAAGGAACGCGTCTTCGATACAAAGGCTGTGGTTCGATTTTTACCAGGACGAAAATAGGAACATCGGCGAGCAAGTTGGGCGAATGTTTATCACCTTTGCAACGTTCAACAACCAGCTGGAACGAAGCACGTTTGTTTTTGGAAAAAAATATGACGTTCCTCGAATCTTGAAATTCGAGACCTGAGTTTTATTGTTACACAATTTGAAATGTTTTGTGGATTATCTTTTGCTTTTGTTAATTTAGATCGTGATCTTTGTGTCAGGGTTTTTGTCCCAAAGAAGGTTTCTCTGACATCGCCTGGTTGTGTGCGTAATATACTTAATATGTGCTCGTCTTTTCTTACGCACAAAATAATTCAATTTCCTTTCATTTGTGTATAAAAATATCCGCCAGTAATGAGTATCCTACCCACAATGCAGCACTGATTGCAGCATTCATTGCATGATGCTATGTAAACATACTTAGTCATGACGTCGTAATAATACACCGATGACGTGCTCGCAAACTAAAGAAAATCCTACTGTATATTAAATTCGTCAAATTCGAATTGAGAGAAGTTGAAGAACAAATAAATCTATCGAAAAATACGTAAAGAAAATTTACCTGGCATCAGTGCGATGTTAAAATGTAATAAGGTGCCGGTGCCGCTATACATTTTAAATGAAAAAGTGACAGGTACACACTTTGAAAGACTTTAGCTGTTACGACGCCGACGTTAATCCAGCTTTTTATAAAGCTGAGTCCCTATAAGCTTATTTGAAGAAAATGTCAAAAACGAACACGAAAGAAAAATTGTAACTTCGCGATCGTGCTTTTTCCACATACACTTTTCTCTTATTATTTAATCTACGTCTCTAATTTTACATTACATAAGGCTTGAAATTGTGGTGTTGCAAATTAAAAGTTCAAAGGCGTCCCGACGCTTTTAAAGCTTTCTCCTGTACTAAGTGAAAAAAGTTTGTTGTTGTAAAGTTCGGTTAACGAAATTGAGATGCCGGATTTTGCCTATCGAGGAAAATAATCCGAAATAAATTTGAACAAGAGTAGAGGATCAATTTCAAGTATTGGCAAGATACTTTATTCTTAATTTATTATTTTTGTTAAAATGATAGGGTCAGTCAACACATAAAAATCATATGATTTTTAGGAATTCAGAACGCCATGGTTGCATAGACGAGGGGAAAAATGAAAAGGAAGAGAAGGAATCTCCTTACATCTTACAAATGCCACCGATGTGGAAAGAAAGGACACAGGGCACAGTTTGGCAACCAGAAAGAGAAAAAAAATAACTAAACACTCAGCACTCCATTCACTAGACAGCCCAACCAAGTTTCCTGTGACCATGGCAAATTGTCACCCAATTTGAATTTTCCATTCCATGAAAAACTCAAAGTTTATATAATCGTATGTCCTAAACTTATAAAATTGTCAGTTCAAACCCCGTACGGACGCCACTGGTGAAAATTAAAAAAAATCTCTTACGAAAAAAATGCTCCTTAATGATGAAAAGGTGTACGTACACAATTTCATAAAAATATCTTAAGAGTGTTAAAAAATTATGACAAAAAACTCACTTTTTTCTTAAAATTTTAACAGCCTTTTCGATGTTTAACTGCAGCTTCAAATGAAAAAGTGAAGTTCTGATTATTTTCGACAATTGGAAGGGCTTAAGCTCTTCATTATCATTTCCACTCAGCTTATTCAAAATTATGAATATTGTACTTACATTTGCTAACTGATCGAATCTTCCGAATAGTTCGTTCAACAACCGTACCAACTCCTGAGCGGTACACTGCGATGCCAAGACGGTGAACCCGACGATGTCGGCGAATAAAATGCTGAAAACAAAAAAAAAGCACGGATAGAGATTCGCGAAAGCGAAAATAAACGAGGATTTTATAAGCTCATCTACATGTAAACGTCGTAAACTCATTTCGCTTAATTGCTGTAGGATTTAAGAAAAGCGAACCCCTTGAAGGGGTAAAACGGCAGTTTCCATAAACATTTCCGGAAATAAACCCGACTCTTTTAAGTTAAGTTTACGTTTACAAAATCTCGAGCGCCGCGCATCGATTTCGTGAAAAATAATCTCGCACGCCGCCGGTTAGTTGGATGTTAAATTATTGAAAGGTAAATTTGAAGTTCGCTTTTCCGAAAGTTTTCTTTTTATTTTCGCTGCGCCAATACATATTGGATCTACTCCATCAAAAGGCATTTGTTAGAAAAGTTATTGACTCAATCAAGAATTCTCCCATTATATTTTCATTCATTTGTAGTGTAGGTACTCTGTAAATGTTCATTGTATGTGTAGTCAGGGTAAAAAGATCGTTTTAACTGTCATTAAATTGTGTCCAACTTTTCCATTTCCGAGATACTTCAAATTTACCACTAAGTATAAATCTCAACAGGTTATGGGCCCAGAGCTCTGAGCTGCAAGAGTAGTGAAAGGGATGAAAAATTAACATCGAGAAATGTCAAGTCCTACACAAGTATCGAGGTAACTATTGTTTACGAAAAATCTCTCTTCAAAGACAAATTGATTAAAATTCCTGTTTCTTCAACACAATTCCTATTCTAAAGGGATTTAATTATAAGCCCTTTTATAGCAGTGCTAAAAAAGGCTTAATTCCATTAGATTTAATTCCCCAAATAGAATTAACTCACGAATTAATTCCGCTTTGAATTAAATCACGAATTAATTCCATTTTGAATTAATTCCATTTTGAATTAATTCCTACCCAGATTTAGATCTCGAGACGTTATCTTCGACGAAAAACTTCTCTCCAAAGCCAAATTGATTAACATTCCTGTTTCTTTAACACAATTCCTTCTGTAAAAGGATTTAATAAAAAGCCATTTTATAGCAGTGCTAAAAAAGGCTTAATTTCATTAGATTTAATTCACCAAATAGAATTAAATCACGAATTAATTCCATTTGTAATTAATTCCTACCCAGCTTTGGATCTAAAGACGTTATCTTCGACGAAAAACTTCTCTCCAAAGCCAAATTGATTAAAATTCCTGTTTCTTCAACACCATTCCTTCTCTAAAAGGATTTAATTATAAGCCCTTTTATAGCAATGCTAAAAAAGGACTAATTCCATTAAATTTAATTCACAAAATAGAATTAAATCACGAATTAATTCCGCTTTGAATTAATTCCCACCCAGCTTTAGATCTCGAGATGTTATCTTCGACGAAAAACTTCCTGTTTCTCCAACACAATTCCTTCTGTAAAAGGATTTAAATATACGCCGTTTTATAGCAGTGTTAAAAAAAGGCTTAATTCCATTAGATTTAATTCATCAAATAGAATTAAATCACGAATTAATTCCATTTTGAATTAATTCCTGTTCAGCTTTGGATCTCGAGACGTTATCTTCGAGGTTATCTTCGAAGAAAAACTTCTCTCCAAAGCCAAATTGATTAAAATTCCTGTTTCTTTAACACAATTCCTTCTGTAAAAGGATTTAATAAAAAGCCATTTTATAGCAGTGCTAAAAAAAGGCTTAATTTCATTAGATTTAATTCATCAAATAGAATTAAATCACGAATTAATTCCATTTTGAATTAATTCCTACCCAGATTTAGATCTCTAGACGTTATCTTCGACGAAAAACTTCTCTCCAAAGCCAAATTGATTAAAATTCCTGTTTCTTTAACACAATTTCTTCTGTAAAAAGATTTAATTAAAAGCCATTTTATAGCAGTGCTAAAAAAGGCTTAATTCCATTAGCAATTAATTCCTACCCAACTATGATGGAAGATACAGAGATATTTAAGGAATAAGGCTACAATGCGAAAGATATTGAATATTCAAACCACAAAATTACCAATCTCTAAATTGCGATTGAAATAATCTCAAAATTTAACAATTTGCTTCGTCTGCAATTACGAAACTGGATACCCTCGGCAATGAAAATGGTGCAAAACGACTTTATATTGCTGGAAGTAAATGACCAATTACTCACCACTAGCAAAAAAGCTGAATAATTGTGGAGTACGTACCTAAGATAATTTAGTAAACTCGTATATGCAAAGCAGAGGCCATAAACAACAAAAGGGGGTGTGGAACAGAAACAATTTATTGCAAATCAACTCTTACTGCATTAAATGAAAAATGGATTAAGGTCTATTTAATTAAAGTACGTAATAGTAAAAGGCAGGTACCTAATGTACAATTTATTGGCACCAGAGGGTATTTTACATGAACGCAACAATAAGTAGTACAAGCCTAGATGGAATAATTTATATGCAAATTTAACACCGATTTTTGTAAAACCTGAGTTGAGAGGAAAAATAAGTAAACGGGTGAAAATGACACACGAATTATCCTTTGTTAAGTAGCTACTAGAATCTCAAAAATCTCAAAGAGCTGGAAAAATGTGAAAACACTCAAAAATTAGATGAATTGTAAGGATACGGAGAATTTTAAGAATCTGATCCGAAAGTTAAATCGAAGAAAAGGAAGAATCTGATGGAGCTCAAGAATACCACGCATCTGAAAGTTTTGACAAGCTTGAAAATTTCTAAGAGTGTCATCAAATTTTGCTCCTCTGGAAGACTTTTCATACACTAAGAACTGAGCGATTTACCGAAAATTACACTTTCGGGAATTAGTCATGAAACCTCCCTTCTTTCGATGCCACGATGCTACGTTCTCTCCCAAAATATATAGATCTTTCCATTTGATTATTTTCTAGGAAGCGCCATAACATTTTGTCATTTTCCACTTTTGAGGGAAACTACGGGCCATCAAATCTCCCTTTTCCGGGGGGAAGCTGTCGCGTAGTGGGAGTGGCAGTACATTTTCCTTCTCTGGGAGATTTCAAACACGAGAGTTCTAAGAGTGGCACGTTTTGGAAAAGAGCGTAGCACCATGAAGTGGGAACTACCCTGGCAGATGTTTGCGAGAAAACGGAAACCTACCCCTATTAATTATTAGCGGACGAGATTTTTTCGAATCAATACATACATTATTTCCACTGTTGGATTCAAAGTAAAGCTCCACATCACAATTAGAATAAGAGACGCTCAACGGGATAGCACTGTTAAAACTGAACGCTTTTAATATTTCTTAACACAAGGGTCACATTAAACACTTAGTATGAAGTGGGAAAATATAGTTAACACAAAAGCTCTTTACGTAAAAGGGTTGCATGAAGCACCTCCTCGACAAACGTTTACTTACCTAACGTTCTCGTGTTTCTGTATGTAGATTTTGTGAAACTGGCCTTCCACGGGCGAAATGATGTCGTTTTTCATCTCCATCGCTACGTGTTGGGGTAGTACCGAAAGCAGAAGCCTCTCCTGAAAATAAAAAAGTCCATTAGTCGCCATGCGGGATAAATTGTGAAACCCCAAATGGGGTCTGGAAAAGTTATTACTAACCGCCTGAATGTGACAAGAAAAAGTGCCATTAAATAGCAAATTACAAGCCTCCAGACATATGTGTTTTCTTACTAAAGCGACTAGAAAGGCCCTTTCCAAATCGATGCGGGCCTAGGAACAATCTAGAAATAACATAGAAGTGTTTAACGCAAGATCTAAGAGACTCTGGAATGTACCCGAAGGCTGTTCTTAGAGACGTGTCCAGGGTGGGTTACGCGTATGAGACTATTTTACAAATCGCAAAAGAACGGGTGCATTCCTACAATTTTGCGTAATTTTCCGCTACATTAAAGTGGTCAGTTGAATTAGTGTTTCGCTCATAACAGAATTAGTACTGCACTTAAAGCCAATGACCTACCCTTTGTAGAATGCATCATGCGAAGTGCATTCCAGCTTGGTTCATCCAATTTCGAAGTGTAACACTTATCGATAGTGCAAAAAAGGGTAGCGAACGATAAATTACTATATGATTTAATCAGTTTCTGGCACCATCTAAAGGATGCATTGCTTCCAAAGTTTTGAGGCTCACATGCAAACTTCTCTACAGCTTAATGGCCGTTTGCACAGACATATTTAAGCGGAGCTTAGCTTAAGCGTAGCTTAAAATCCATGACAACGATTATTGAGACAATGGTTGCCATGGATTTTAAGTTACGCTTAAGCTAAGCTCCACTTAAATTTGTCGGTGCAAACGGCCATTAGTACTTGGGACGAGAGTTCCCTTATTACAAAAATGTAAAAAAGGAATTAAAATAAAAACGTTGTATGTAAATACGTTAAAAAATTAATGTTGGGGTTAATTTTGAGACTGCTTCATCGATATTAAGGTCTCAATTCACATATGGTTGTCCTCTGCAAGGGGCGTCTCTTTTGTGCAGGATCAAATATTTCTATTTCTTTAATTAATCACGTAGAAAGGGTTCATCAACAGTCCTGAATACATACATTGAAGAATTCAACCCCTATTGGATTGTAAATTATAAATTTTTTAGTTAAAATTTTCTCTTAGAAGGGGCGTCTCATTTGTGGTGTACCAAATATTTTCATTTCATTGATTAAGTCTCATAGAGGGTTGATCAGCAACCCTGAATACACGAATAGAAGAAGACAACCCCTATTGGATTGTAAATTATAAATTTTTTAGTTAAAATTTTCTCTTAGAAGGGGCGTCTCATTTGTGGTGTACCAAATATTTTCATTTCATTGATTAAGTCTCATAGAGGGTTGATCAGCAACCCTGAATACACGAATAGAAGAAGACAACCCCTATTGGATTGTAAATTATAAATTTTTTTTAGATGGCAGTGGACTACTACAGGGGGTGCATTTTTTGTGAGGGCATCAAATATTTTTATTTCGTTGATTAATTACACTTAAAGAGTTAATCAACAACCCTGAATCTATGAATCGAAGAATTCCACCCCTGTTGAATTGTAAATTATGTATTTCTTAATGAAAATTCTCTCTTAGATGACAGTAGAACTACTACAGGGAGTGTCTCATTTGTGGTGCAGCACCTATTTCCATTTCTTTGATTAATTTGCATGAAGGGTTGATCAGCAATCCTGAATAAGCGAATAGAAGAATTCAACCGCGAGTGGATTGTAAATTATGTATTTTTTTAGTGAAAATTATCTCTTAGATAGGAGTTTATTACTACAGGGGTGTATTTTTGGTGGGGCAACAACTTTTATTTTATTTCTTTGATTAATTATGCATGTAGGGTTAATCAGCAATCTGAATAGATGAATAGACGAATTTAACCCCTATTGAATTGTAGGGGCATGAAATATTTTAATTTCTTTAATTAATTACGCTTAAGGGTTGATCAGCAACCCTGAATAGATGAATAGACGAATTAAACCCCTATTGGATTGTGGGGCATCAAATATTTTAATTTCTTTAATTAATTACGCTTGAGGGGTTGATCAGCAACCCTGAATACGGGAACAGAAGCATTCAACCCCTATTGGATTGTAAATTATGTATTTTTTTGAGTGAAAATTCTCTCTTAGATGGGAGCTGACTACTACAGGGGGTGTATTTTTCGTGGGGCATCAAATATTGTAATTTCTTTGATCAATTACACATAAAGGGTTAATTATTAACCCTAAATACATGAGTAGACGTATTCAACCCCTATTAGATTGTAAATTATGTATTTCTTATAGAAAATTCTCTCTCAGACGGGAATTGATTACTACATGGGGTGTCCCATTTGTAGTGCACCACCTATTTACATTTCTTTTATTAATTTGCGTGAAGGGTGGGTCAGCAATCCTGAATACGTGAATAGAAGAATTCAACCCCCATTGGATTGAAAATTATGTATTTTTTTTAGTGAAAAGTCTGTCTTAGGTGGCAGTTGACTACTACAGGGGGTGTCTCATTAGTTCCGTACCGCCTATGTCCATTTCTTTGATTAATTTGCATAATAAGTTAATCAGCAACTCTGAATACATAAATACACGAATTTAACCCCTACCGGATTGTAAATTATGTATTTTTTTTAGTGAAAATGATCTCTTAGATAGAAGTTTATTACTACAGGGGGTGTATTTTTGGTGGGGCATCAATTATTTATTTTATTTCTTTGATTAATTATGCATGTCGGGTTAATCGGCAACCCTGAATAGATGAATAGACGAATTTAACCCCTATTGGATTGTGGGGCATTAATTTCTTTAATTAATTACGCTTGAGGGGTTGATCAGCAACCCTGAATACGGGAACAGAAGCATTCAACCCCTATTGGATTGTAAATTATGTATTTTTTTGAGTGAAAATTCTCTTTTAGATGGGAGTTGACTACTGCAGGGGGTGTATTTTTCGTGGGGCATCAAACATTGTAATTTCTTTGATCAATTACGCATAAAAGGTTAATTATTAACCCTAAATACATGAGTAGACGTATTCAACCCTTATTAGATTGTAAATTATGTATTTCTTATAGAAAATTCTCTCTTAGACGGGAGTTGATTACTACATGGGGTGTCCCATTTGTAGTGCACCACCTATTTACATTTCTTTTATTAATTTGCGTGAAGGGTTGATCAGCAATTCTGAATACGTGAATAGAAGAATTCAACCCCCATTGGATTGAAAATTATGTATTTTTTTTAGTGAAACGTTTGTCTTAGATGGCAGTTGACTACTACAGGGGGTGTCTCATTAGTGCCGTACCGCCTATGTGCCATTTCTTTGATTAATTTGCATGATGAGTTAATCAGCAACCCTGAATACATAAATAGACGAATTTAACCCCCACCGGATTGTAAATTATGTATTTATTTAGTGAAAATTATCTCTTAGATAGGAGTTTATTACTACAGGGGTTGCATTTTTGGTGGGGCAACAACTATTTATTTTATTTCTTTGATTAATTATGCATGTAGGGTTAATAAGCAACCCTGAATAGATGAATAGACGAATTTAACCCCTATTGGATTGTGGGGCATCAAATATTTTAATTTCTTTAATTAATTACGCTTGAGGGGTTGATCAGCAACCCTGAATACGGGAACAGAAGCATTCAACCCCTATTGGATTGTAAATTATGTATTTTTTGGAGTGAAAATTCTCTCTTAGATGGGAGTTGACTACTACAGGGGGTGTATTTTTTGTGGGGTATCAAATATTGTAATTTCTTTGATCAATTACGCATAAAGGGTTAATTATTAACTTTGAGTAGACGTATTCAACCCCTATTGGATTGTAAATTATGTATTTCTTATAGAAAATTCTCTCTCAAACGGGAGTTGAGGTGTCCCATTTGTAGTGCACCACCTATTTACATTTCTTTTATTAATTTACGTGAAGGGTTGATCAGCAATCCTGAATACGTGAATAGAAGAATTCAACCCCCATTGGATTGAAAATTATGTATTTTTAGTGAAAAGTCCGTCCTAGATAGCAGTTGACTCCTACAGGGGGTGTCTCATTTGTGGTGCACCACTTATTTCCATTTCTTTGATTAATTTGCATGAAGCGTTGATTATCAACCCTGAATACGCGAATAGAAGAATTCAACCCCCATTGGATTGAAAATTATGTATTTTTTTTTAATAGTCTGTCGTAGGTGGCAGTTGACTACTACAGGGAGTGTGTCTCACTTGTGGTGCACCATCTATATTCATTTCTTTGATTAATTTGCATTAAGGGTTGATCAGCAATCATGAATACGTGAATAGAAGAATTCAACCCCCATTGGATTGAAAATTGTCTTTTTTTAGTGAAAAGTCTGTCTTAGGTGGCAGTTGACTACTACAGGGGGTGTCTCATTAGTGCCGTACCACCTATGTTCATTTCTTTGATTAATTTGCATGATGAGTTAATCAGCAACCCTGAATACATAAATAGACGAATTTAACCCCCACCGGATTGTAAATTATGTATTTATTTAGTGAAAATTATCTCTTAGATAGGAGTTTATTACTACAGGGGTTGCATTTTTGGTGGGGCAACAACTATTTATTTTATTTCTTTGATTAATTATGCATGTAGGGTTAATAAGCAACCCTGAATAGATGAATAGACGAATTTAACCCCTATTGGATTGTGGGGCATGAAATATTTTAATTTCTTTAATTAATTACGCTTAAGGGGTTGATCAGCAACCCTGAATACGGGAACAGAAGCATTCAACCCCTATTGGATTGTAAATTATGTATTTTTCTGAATGAAAATTCTCTTTTAGATGGGAGTTGACTACTACAGGGGGTGTAATTTTCGTGGGGCATCATATATTGTAATTTCTTTGATCAATTACGCATAAAGGATTAATTATTAACCGTGAATACATGAGTAGACGTATTCAACCTCTATTAGATTGTAAATTATGTATTTCTTATAGAAAATTCTCTCTCAAACGGGAGTTGATTACTACATGGGGTGTCCCATTTGTAGTGCACCACCTATTT